GTTAATCAATGGTGACCCAGGCTGAATTGTAATAGAAAACATAGATCAGCTGCTTCATATCCCAGAGTCAAAATTTTCTCCAGAAAGAGGGCCTGCAATTTACCTATTTTACTTCTTCTTAAAAAAAAAGAAAAATTAGAAATGTTCAAACTTTGAAAGAAAGAGGTTTAAGAGATTGTTACATGAAACATTCATGTATTTCATTTGCAAGCATTTTAAAATTGCAAAACTGCTGAATGGATATTTTGTGCAGTAGCAGTGATTAAGAACACAGCTACGTCAATGGCATTTTGTGTTTTGTATTTTTTCTGGTGTGGATGCCAATGAACAGCATGCATCTTCCTTGCAACAGCTTGTTGCAAGGTTTTTGCCTCCGGAGAAGCCGAAGGGGAAAATATTGATGTATGTGTTAAAATAATCTTTCTAGACAGGGGGACCATGTCCATTTCAAAAGGATATAATCCTCTTTCTTGTTTTGCAATTATGGGGAGGTATCTGTAAAACTTCAGCAAAGAATACAGCATTATAAATTCACTTTTGTATGGTACTCTTCTATCCCTCAATGTTTGAGAAGAGTCCATGCTCTATAATATACCAGTAGTGGAGGTCAACAGAGCAAGCATGTGGAATAGCTCCATGCCAAGAAAATTTTTTCCCAATTCTTGTTTAAAGCACAACCAGTGTCATCAGCTTGTCTTGCTGCAGCCACTTCTGCAAACAGTACAAATCTATGATTTCTCCTTTTATATAGCACAAAATAAACCACTGCCCTACTCAGATTTTAGTAATAACTTTAAGACTATGATAGATTAACCACTACTTTTTTTTTTTCTTTTCTGTCACTGTTTACACCATTAGTCAGCCCACACACTGACTTACATGTACACTAGGGGAAGAATTCTTATTACAGCACTCTCTGAGCACCCCCATTTCCCTTTTCCTCCTCCATTTTTTCCTCTAGTGTTATTGTAATTCTGACCACTTCAGGAAGGAAAGATCCCCGGTCTGAAGAGAGCAGAGCTGATCACAGAATGGAACACACCCACTGCTTCATATAATTACCAGCATTAAGTGTCTGGGGTAATTTTAATCAGAGGGGGGTGCTGACCACTGGGCAGAATAAATCGAGAAGACTGACAATGGCATTCCTAGGTAAGAGCATCCACACATGGATTTCTTCCTGAATATTCTAACTCCTTTATGAAAAAGAAGACTCCTTTATAAAAGAAGACATTGATATAATTGTAACAGTAAAAACTGCAGTGCAGCTTATGCTTTACAGAGTGAAAATAAGCTTGTTCGTTCAGAGGGTAACCTAAAATACACTGAAAGTGTATGTAAAAAATACTGATGTACGTAAAAAGATACTTGTACACCATAATTTCTGAAGGCAGCATTTGCTGTTAATTATTAGTATAACATACTCTTATTTTCTATACAAATACAAATTACTGCAGAGGTTTTAAAATAATATAATCTATTAACTCACACAAAATCTGCTCATCCATCACATGTTAAGCGAACCCTGGCTTATCAGCAATCTTCAACACAACTCTTAATATTAAAAATTTTTGCTGCTTACACCACAAGGGAGAAAGAGCTGACAAAAGCCTTTGGCCACCGAGATCAAAACTGGAGATGTGGGAGGGGGAGAAAGTGGAGTTTAGTGTATTTACATTTTTGCTTTGTTGGTAAACCGGAATGGTTGGGCAGGAAGCTAAAAAAAAAAAAAAAAAAAAAAAAAAAAAAGTGAAATTAACATCCACTAGGTCTTCTGGCAACAGCAGTGCATTTTGATGATGTGCTGTGTCAGCTTCCACTAATGGTTTAGGATTGAATCAGGCACGGCTAAAGACCTAAAGCAGTGCAGGGCATCGCATCTCATCTTCTGGAAGAACATGAACCCTAATTATGAAGATGGCTACAAAATAAAGAGATCAGGAATTCTGGCAAAGTAGAATAGTGAATCACTTATTAGGACATCAGAATATCATTTTACATCATTAAAAATTGTAAAATAGTAAGATTTCAGTCCTGTAACGAAAGTGTGTCAGAAAGAGAAGTGTTAACCCTTTTCAGATAAAACCCTCTCAAAACAAAACATGCCGAAGTTGCTTTTTCTACTCTTAGAGATTAATTTCCCTGATCTATTCTTGTTATATAAATGGAGACAAAGGCTGTATACGTGTGCCACTTACTGCACAAAATATCTGTTCAGTATTTCAGAGTACAGAAAGGAAATGCCCACTGAGCTAGGGATGTGCCAATGTCAGTGTTGCCAGCACCAGTCCATTCCCATGAAATTCACAACGTGTGACAGAAAGCAATACGGCAAGGCAGACTTGCAGTGGGGTGAGGAAGCAGCTTAAACAGGCAATGGAACTGAATCAGCCATTTGGGAGGTTTAATAGGGGGTTGTCTGTTTTCCTGCCCTTTTGATGTTAAATTAGTAGTCAATTTTGTTGCAATGAAGGAGGCATGAGGAAAAGGATGCTTCTCTTCCAGTGAACCCTGGGAAAGCAACACCTTTATTTTAAAGGCCTTCCCACCAAGAACCCCCTGCACCATTTTGGCTTTCCCTAGCTGTAGCTATCAGCAACACAACAGCTGCTCATTTTACAATGACTTGCTGGAGAGAGAATGATTGAAAGAGCCAATCTATGTCACATGGAGAAGCTGTGGCACAACATTGCAGGAGGTAATAGGAGAGGAATGAGGTCAGAACAAACAAGGGTAGGGTGAGAAGAAAGAGGAAAATAGGAGTGGAACAAAATTGTTAAAGGAGAGACGCCAGACTACTCAGTATATGTGCAAAAAACAGCCACAACCTGAACACTGCAAGCAGCCCAGAGAAATGCAAACAAGCTCTATTACTTTTTGCCAGTGTCCTGTGACTACAGCAGATGAAGAAGCCTATAAAATCCTAGTAATTAAGCACAACGGTGGGAAAGCAGGTGAATGGGGAGAAATGATGAGCACAGTGGAGTGCACATGGCCTGGAAACCCGAGCATCCAACAGTGTCCCACTAGTCACCGGGTTTTAAATAGCAGTTTTACTCATTCCATTTTGTAGCTTGAGAAACTCAACAGCAGCAGCAGAGCTAATGAAGCTGCCCGGTTTTCCTCAGAAGATGGCAGTGCACTAGCTCACAACTGAGAGCTCACCTTTATCAAAACAGGTAGATAAGAAGGTTGCCCAAACCAGGGAAATCAGTGGCAGGCAATTCTGATTTATTGCCATTCATAAAAAGACTTCCTAATATGTCTTTTGTGTTACCACAACAGACTAGAAAATTTGCATTCGAACTGACACATTTTCTATGAAGAGCTAACACTTTTCATTAGGTCAGCAACAGAAACAAAAGTTTGGGCTCAGCTGAAGAGAAGTGACTTTGATTCTGACCTTTCAGCCCACACCTCTTTTTACCCCAAAGAAATTAATTTGATAAAAGTTATTACTTTTTCCTACAAATCATCCTGCTCACACCCTTTTCTGTTATGGCTACAATAAAACTATTTTCACCTTCACAACACTCCTCCTCTACTCAGCAACCAGGCAGCTAAAATATCAATCAATTTGTTTGTCCAAATCTGACTGTTTAGAGATAGTCAAAACTGAAAGCTGAGAGCTTTCCAAGAAATCACAACCTCAGTTTACAACCTAAGACAATACAGGAAGGAAGTCAAGATTTCCCATAAAGCCACCGAATTGGGTCCTGATTGCAAAGTGCAAGGATTGGCTTAGACTGTGGGAACAGCTACCTTTCCAGCTGGGTGGACTCTTTGACTTCACTCAATAACAGGGAAGGGTTTCTACACTGCGCAGTTTGAGATGCACAGCAAATACAAGGTCACCATCCTGCCTGTAATACAGAGGCTTCTGTCTTGTCACTTTTCCTGCTCTTCCTGCCCCACCTGAGCACATACTGCCAGCTAGAGAGGCTGGAGGGAAGAAGAAATGACTGTGGGGCATACATGCTGCATCAGGGCTTGACACACTCATTTCAGATGCAACCAGCATGAGTGCACTGAGCTTACTCACCTTTGCTTATCTAGTTCGACCTCTGTGTACAGATAGGCATGTACATTTCCCCGGTTTAACCTTTATATGGAATACCAAAAAACATACTGCTCACTGCATCTTAACTTGCATTTGGTCCACAACACATCTAATGATAAAAAGTTGCAATTTCTCTTTCTTTCAACCGAGCTTCACACTGATTTGTTGTGCTTTTGTCAGCAACTGATGTCACTTCAGAGTAATGCCAGTACTGTCCAACTACTTCGAGTTTCTCTAGCATTCAAAATGTCAGAAAACAATAAAAGAATTGAGCATCTAAAAGAGAACAAACTCATGTAAAATACCAATTTTTTTTTTTTTTTTTTTTTTTCTTCTGAGTACGTTGGAAGGTTTTCACAAATTTCTGAATATACATGGATGATATTGTACCAACACTGCCAAAGAAGTGCAAGTGGCAAACATAATACCGTTGTTTAAAATACTATTGGGTCTGGATTCCTAGTCATGTGTTGATCTTTGCAAGTATTAAATAAGATCTCATAAGAAATTTCACATTCATTTCCTGAACTCCATTTTTAAAAGACAAAGTTGAAAAAAGTATGCCTCAAACTAAGGGTCACAAGTCACCACAGAACTCCAAGAGACAAAGACAACAAAAACACAACGTAAAAATAGAAAAGGGATCCTGTAAATATGTGATAGATAGATGATCATGAACCAAACACATAAAAACAGCATTAGTTGCATGAACTGGGCCATGAAAAAGACATTTAAGAAATATACTCGTAGAGTCAAGTTCAGAATTTTGAGAGCTCTGAGGACTTAGAAGCTGAAATTATCCCTGCTTTATTTATGCATTTCTTAAGAGAAGAAGACACTAAAAATGCAGAATTCTCCTAGAATTAAGAATTATCAATCTAGAAGTAATTTTAATATACAATTATAAATCGATTAATTGCATTTGTTGCAACAAGCTTACCTGGAATACTTGCTGGAGAAATGGGACCAGACCTAGACTGGTTGCTTCCAACAGGAGAGCCTACAGGGGAAGGCGATGGGCCCCCGGGGATGCCAGAGAGATGTGGTGAAGCATGAGGGGAGAATGGAGACTGTGCAGGGTTGCTCTGCTCCCCTTGGCTGCTTGTAGAGCCTGATGCGCTAACAGCTGAGCTCAGCGTTGCTTCAGTTCCAGTCGGCAAATCGTCAATGGATCCAGACAAATCCTGAAGAAAAAGGAAAAGGTGCATTAGTTGCAAGAACTAATACACGAGCCACAAGACATAAAAACTGGCACGGTGACCACATCTCCTTGTTTACTTACTATGGTAGCTAACTAAGAGGTTTTCTTTAATGCTGGTTCATGTAGTTAAACGATGTCAGTAAATTAGGATAGTATGCACAATTCTCCACTTAATCTCTAATTCTTCTGAGAAAAAGAACCAGCAACGGTAACAAATGAATTGGTATCAAATTCCCTCAGCATTGAATTTAACCTTTTCCTCTGGATTAAGCTTTCAGAATTAATCCCACAAATTCTACCTGAGCATATGAAAGCTAATAAAAATGAGTTATCAGTTTCACTTCAACACCGTATTTCATGTTTGGGATTGTTCCCGTTAGAATCACAGTTTATATACTTCACTCTTTAAACCATCATCAAAATGACAGAAGAAAAGTGTAAAATACACAGCCCTCATAATATTCGCATTCAGCTCCTTCACCTTCCAGGAGAGGGAAAACAACAATGCCCTGCCCTCACCAGCAATCCAGAACCCATTGGCCACCTGAGAGTAAGGAAGGCTGCTTCTTTATTTCCATCCAACACCAGTTTGACCAGCATCCAGTTCACAGTTTCTCTTCAATTTCATCTGAGTATACCTCAAAACAGCTGCTCCATTTCACTTCAAAAATGCTGCAATTTTCAATGTTTTCAATGAGGAATCTCCTTCACTGGTCAACGCACTTCCAAATTCTAACTACAAGTTGCTGGGCATATCTCATAGAGCTAGTTACATCTATCTTTGGATCTGTGGGAGTAGTTTGGTTTTAAATCACTGTAAAATCAGATGTGAAAAAATAGGAATGTTGTGATGTGCCCTCTAACTTTCAGGAAAAAAATACTAATTCCTAAGCATGACGAGAAGATCGCAGGTAGCTGTGCTTCTGTCAGTATTTGGCAAGATGCAAGCCAAGGAGCATACTGCTATTTCTATTAGTGAATTAAGGCAGAGAGCTATTTCACATATAAAACAAGTCATGAATTGACCTTTGGGGCTTCGAATAATTGGGATGACACAGAGCATGCTACTCTAGTTGACAGTGATTTCATTTGTCTGACTCATGCCAGCAGTTCCTCTGGAGACAAGGGGCCAGGCATCTGAGGAACACAAAGACAGCTGGGCTCTGCTTGGGCAAAGAGCTCAAGAAGCAAGGACTAACTGCTGTCTAATTTTCATAACAAAAATAAAGTTATTTTTAGAAATTACAGAACTTGGACAAAATTCAAAGTGGTGTATTCAGAGTAAGAATGCTGCCTGATCTCCATCACAAGAGGCTCACAGCTAGCCTTCCCTAATAGACAGTCAGTCTTCCAAGGCACGGAAATAGTAGGATTAGCACTTCAGGCACCAGTAACATTCATAAAAAGCCACCTAGAATGTTATGTGTTATTCCTCCTCATACATAAAGGTGTACATAAATACAACTTGCCCAACTTAGCTCTCTACAGGACACCTCACAGCCCCTACTCCCAAACGTGCATTGAACACAATACTCCAGGCACAACTCTCACTACAGGTTAATTTTCCTTTTTCTGACAAGCACAAAATTGTATTTGCATTTCATTAGGCGTATGGAAAACAAAGATTGAAGTTTTCAAACTTAATTTATGTGTGAACTCAGCGTTCACCAGAGAACAGTTCCAAGTCCCTATAAATGGAAATTTAATTGTGATGTGGTGCTGGCAATAAACTATTTTCATTGTTTCTTTTTTGAAATTGTTTGCTGTAGAAAATGTAAACAAGAAATAACACTGCTTGATACTACGTAGAGTAACGCTGGAAGTGTTCACAGTAGAATGCAACTGACAAACAGGTAAGCAATTACTGCTTTTCCATACATCATACGGTACTCTTAAATGGAATCAAATCTCTGCTGTCGTAATGTGTAACGAATGCTGCAGGAAGTGCTGATAAAACAAATGCTGCTGAAAAGCATATAATCAAACTCCAAAACCCGAATGCAGCAGAAAAGGGCCTATTCAAAATGAATAGAATTCTGTGTAAAAAAGTAGATAGGCACCCAGCTGATAAAAGATACAGAAAACACACAGCTTTGCATTTAGAATAGCTAAGTTTTTTAAGTGGTGTTTGGACTAAAGCTTTCATTTGCTTCGGTAAGCCACAAAGTGCATGGAAAACAAACAAACCAAAACGAAAAAAACCCATGAAGCAGTTAGCAGCGTCCGTGATGAAAATTATCGGTCGTTCAGAGATCAAGGCACAACTTGACAGTTCCCCCCAGCACCTCCCTGACACGCTGAGCATGTGTGTGCAAAAACGTAGGGACAAGAACTAAGTTCATTTTTCCATCAGGTCGCATTATGACTTCTCATTTTGCTAATCTCCCGTGGGGGTGGAGTGACTGACATGTCCCAGGCATTTCCTCAAGTGCATGCCTTCAAGGGATTTCCTCGCAAACCTGATGCAACTCATTCATAAAAGCAGAAAAGAAAGAAGGAAGCTCACAGGACGCCAGCACGGGGCTGTGCCACCCTCCTGCAATGAGCACAGGCCCTATTGTGCTGCACGCATGCGTGCAGCAGGATGTCCTTTTGAGGCTGGGGAGAGAACATCGACACGGCCATCCATCCAGCTCCTCTGCCGAGGAGGTTATCATAGCAACGGTATTGATCACATCAACTGTGACAGCTGATAATAAGGTTGCTCCCAGGACTGTATGAAAGGTCTGCTGTCCATTTAGGCACCTGGGCTATACTATACAACATTTACTTTGTGTTGCCATGGGGTAAATGAGCATTATCAGCCATTCTGTCCAGGGTGGTTTGCAAACCATTACTGTGTACTCTTTACAAACATGCACTTCATGGACTTACTTCATCTTTCAAGGTAAAAGTATCAGTAGGTGAGCAACTGGGAAATTTCTAGCATGAAAAAGCTTTAGAAACACCTCTGTTATCCACGAGAGCTAACTGGGAAATTAAAGTGAAGAGGAAGAAAGACCTTATGGGAAGCTCCCAGACTGAAAGAGCAGAAGTTGGCTTACCGTTCTCCTAATATCAGTATTTTAATGCTTGTGTTTTTCTTTAGTGTAGCACAACAGTAATGAAATCGTGCAATTTCTACTTCACAAACTTTTATTAATATAGAAAATATTGTACACATCATATGCATAAATTATATGGATATACCTGCATTTACTTAGTATATCCGTATGTAAAGCTATTAAAAATCCTGCTAATAAGAGAAATTCACAGTGGTTTAAGCATACAGCCTAGTTAACAAAGAAGCTCTGTAACTAATACTCCTCTAGAGGACAATTTAGTCAGCAGGGCACCAACTCTATTCTTCTTTTATAAGTACTATCAGATCTATGATTCCTGTAAGAACAGAGAGACCTTACTTATTGCATCTCATTCAAATCAAGGCACCTTCAAGCTACAGTGCCTCCATTTATCTTGTTGGAAAGTTGGCAGGTTAGGTAATTGCAGGGATTCTTTTAAGGGGCTGAAGTCCCCTTACCCTAAGGCACGTCTTAAATTTTGCCTCTTTTCAGAGGTCCTATCTGGAAAGCACTCATTTTTTTGAGTAAAATATAGCAAGTCTGGAATTACCAGAAACCTTGTTATACAGACCTATTTCTTGCAGAATAATCTTAGTACTTCTGCCTGTTGTTATGACTGTATTTTCAAATGTGATACCAAATCTAAGGAAAAATAGAGGACGTATTTTTTTTCCCCCACTCTGTCATGAATCCTTATCAACATTCTGTATTCTCAGTCAGTGTTATGTTCTGTATTATTCAGGACACCCCAATCAGCTTTCCAAGTTCATTTCTAGGCAATACTTTGATTAGAAATGAGAATGTCCCAGCACAGGATTTCTCTTGTTCAGCTAAATGTTTTATCTTCCACTATCTTCACTTCTAGCTTCACTTTTCACCCATACACAATCTTTATTCTTGTCTTTCTGACAAGTACAAGAGCTAAAATGAACAGGATCACATTGTGCACAGGATTATAATGTTATGCTTTCCTGGTGGTGTGATCTTATCAGCCTGACAAGAGAGCCACTCACAACAGCACACCAATTTACTTACTGGCAGTGCAGCCAGTAAGGAGTAGAAGGAAGTTAACTGCACACAGTCACAAAACCCAAAGTTGCTGACAAGCAAAGGACAAGGAAAACACAGAAACTTCCACGCAATAATACAATCCAGTAACCTACCCAAGAAATAGGCGTAGATTCAATAAACGGCAAAAAGGAGACGACAGTAACTTGCTAACAACACCATGATTTTACACAGCGCAACAGGAAAAGAGCACTCACTGTGAAGCAAAAACGTACACTGTGAACACCTTGTGCAGCTGCTGGTTTTGCTCAAGAGTGTCCCAGCAGCCATAAAACATAAATGAGACTTTACTAAAGGAATCCTCTGCTTGATACCTACAGCTGAAAAATGATGAGAACCTTCTGTGAGGTCAGCAAAACAGAGAAGTGTACAACAGATCCAGCTGACATCCAGGACCTCATTAAGTAAGTCCTACGTTGCTAAATGTTAGCTAAATTCACTGACAGATTGCTACGGTCTGGGGGCTTCTACATAGTGTGTACAGCCTGGGAATTACTTCAACTTCCAGGCTATTGCCTTTCAGTCTCTTTTTGCTCAAAGAGCAGAAGGAAAGACAAGGTCTACAAGCAAAGACGCACAGCACCCGGGGTCTCAAATAAGCTAAGGAGCACGGCCCGCTGGCCCTCAGCTTTGTAGCAGCACAGATCCCAGCACAAGGCTGTACTGGAGGGCTGCCTGAGAGGTCAGAGCTGTTGCCACCTGGCTCAGGCCTCCAGGATTGTTGGGATGGAGGACGGTACTGCTTACAAGGCAGAATCCCGCAGGAAATATCCATCTCTTCAAAACGGATCACCACTTTGAACGTGAAATTATATATACGCACCAACATATTTTACATTTAAGTATGTAAATA